TCTTCTTCTTTCTCTTCTTTCTCTTTTTCCTCTTTTTCCTCTTCTCTCTTTTACTTCCCCTTCTTTTCCTCTCCTCTCTGCCATCATCATTATCTTCATTCCCTTCTCCTTCTGCTCACTCTGTTTATCACGTAGAGCTTTGATCATACAACAACATTGTATTTCAGCATAAATAAGATACTTTCGCTTTGAGTTTAATTTTTCATTTCACTTTATCGTTTCAAATAGGTAACAATCAAGTTGAACAATTAAACTTGACTACTTTTGCTTTTCCAATTTTTGTTCACCTCTCAATCTTTCTATTCTTACGATTACCTACGCTTTAACAACACAACAAACATCAATAAGTAATATCTTCAATAATATTACACTCAACAATTGAACGTTAAAACCGCTAAGTTAAACAGCAAACCTAATTTCATTTTTATTTTCCTGGTTCTAAACCTAAACCTTTATCTACTGTTAATTAATCTTTCATATTGGCTTGCTTTTGTCAACGGTTCTATATAAGCAATAAGTGACTGTTTATTATAACAATCAACCATGGAAGACGATATCTTCAAAATTATTCAGGATGCAAGTGCACCAAGACCCATTGAAAGACGAACCTCTTTAACCACAAAATTAATTGGTAAGTAACTGTTTTGTGTTCACATTTTTTGAGTATCAAAATGGAGGAAATAAAATGCTCTTTGTTTTGTTTGAATATATGGTGAGATATCATTTTTATCCTTCTATATTATATGGCCATGCGGTGTCAAGGACATGAAGAAAAAGATGAAAATGACGATAAGCTTAGTACCATCTTCACTATTTCATTGTGATTTCCTTTTGTTTGCAAAATTTTTGTCACTTAATTTGAGGCTTGTTTTTGCAATAATTATCGATAGGCATAGTTTATTGTTACTCAGGCTTGACTGACAAAAATTTATATGCATTATTAACCCTGATTATTGCTAGTATCTTAATGTTTCTAGGATAGTCAATAATTAAGCTTGTAACTGTTATATAATCATTTACTGTTGTTTTTTATGCTTATATTTATTACAAGGTATCATTAGAGTTTTATTGTGCATGATTATTTTTTGCTGTCCATTCTCATTTAATGATCTCACCTTCATATGTTACTCAATTTTATCGCTATCTTTATTACCCTGAATGCTGTTGCTAACTCTTTATTTTCTTTTATTTCCTCTTTCAGGTAATGCTAAAGATTGGTTCGGTGGATTTAACCGAAGACATTCTGAATCTCAAAGCGAAGATGGTTATGCTCGAAGTCTCTCATCATCATCCGGTGATAATTTCGATGGCTTGAGTGATCTGATATTTCGCAAAAGAAGCCAATCAATCACCGGAGAGAATCCAATGAAGGAAGGAGTCAAAGACTCGATGGTGCTCGGGCCAATAATATAGTAAGCGAAATGTGATCGCTACTTGTAAAACCACCGAAGTCAACCCTACCTCACCGAATCTGGCCTTAACATAAAAAAAAAGAGCAAACCAGCCTCAGCTTTGTCTCTCTTCCTAACACTCATCACAACATCTCATAACATTAAATCTCATAGTACATTTACATCGTGAAAAAAGCCATTCTCATCATGATACGTCTCTTGTCAAGAGAAACACCGACACATTTACGCTCGTCTCAGAACCGCTCATTCTATGTATACTTTGTACATTATTCCTACTTTGTTTTCCGTATTCATTTTCCTACTTCGTTTTCCTCTCTTTTGTTTTCCAGGTCAAATTATGTTGCAAATTATGCCTCTTTATTTTCTTCTATCAACTGTTCTATTGTCATCATGACAAACTCTTTATCCAACACTTTGTTGCCTCAATTTCAGCGAAAACCAAGTCAGCTAAATGAATCTTTCTGAATACACCAAAATTCTCTATCTATTTGTAAAATATTAATAACGTTAATAATTATCATCCCCTGAGAAACCCTACGACTTGATAAGTCTTCCCCTTTCTCGCTACCCTCTCTTTCTCCTCTCTTACCCTGAAATCTTACACGAAAATTACTAAAAATTGAAAAAAGATATACATCCAAAATTTGATAAGCTCATGTCTGGATTATCATATATTGTAATTAATGTTTTCAGAATATTGATTATTATTGCAAACAAACGGCAACAAAACAAAGATTTGCCATTTTTGAAAATGTTTGACATTTTATCACATGAAATAAAAATATAGTGTAATAAATTAACACTGTTTAACATTACAGAATAAAAGCGTTTTCTTAAAAATTCAATTTATAATCTCTTGACTCTGGTTGGCTTATTCATGCTCTGTAAATGAAGCGGCAGCTAATTCTAGTCAATCTTGCTAACAGTCTTGTAAGTTGAGCTTAATGTCTAGGGTTAGTCAAAGTTTATTTCAATACTTTTATCACAAGATAAACCAAAAGTGTCACCGGTTAGACATTTGTTGATGTTTTCCATGATGAATTTTGCCAACTCACCAGCCAATGATCAAGGCCAGAACAGTAACCAATCACTTTAACCACCAAAATTACAGATAAAAGTTAAAATAGAAACTTGGTTCTATTTTAACTTGGCTTATTTCAAGTAATCTTGGCAAAAAAATGCTTGAAAGAGTTAAACAAGTGTATATTTTTGTGCTTGTAATTTTTTCTTTACTCATCAACCTCTCATTTCCTCAAACTGAAAATAGGAAAGTTGATTGTACAATGGCACAATCAACTTGATGACGAAAAGATTTATAATCAACTTGAAATCTTCCGGAGATTTTAATCAATTTCTCGTAGCCTCAAAAACCATTGAGATAATGTAAGTGTCACTATTTGTATATTACAATATCAATAATTTTCCGTTGAATTTTCAGTCCACCATAAATTGTAGCTCAATTTTCGTTAATTATGAATTTCTCTGTAGGAAGGTGGAAGTCGTATCTTTTTGATTACTCTTTAAACACAAAAATAGAGTTTAACTCGGTAGTTATCAGACTTGATCGGCCTTAATCAATGGGGAAAGCTGTTAGTGATAAGTGTATATTTTTGGCTTATCTCCAAATTTAATGTTGCTCCGTTAATTGGCTTCACTGATTAAAAACAAATTGTAAATTCTGGGATTGATATTGAAGAGGCGTCGAGAGTACATTCATATACTATTGAAGTTTCGCTCAGTTAACACGTGAAGATAAACCAAGGTAATATCTGTCTATCAACAGAATCAATTAGATAATTGAATAATTGAAGGAATCCCGGCAATTGAAGATATAGACGATGTAAATAGTTAGATTAGATAATTTCATAAACACAAGTGGAACAGCAGTGAAATTTCATATTTTTTCATCTCTAACCCAAATTGTTTATCGTTCATAAAACTAACAATTACAACCTACCTTTCAGCTTGATTCCACCTGCAATTAATGTTAAATCCGAAACAAATTCCTTAAATACAATAATAGACGAAAGGTAAACAAAAAATGTCTATTCATCAAAAACCGGTTGAAACAAAATAATTTTTCATTTCATCCCATTGTTAAATCTAAGCATTCAATCAACAAGAAATACAAACAAACTGCTTTACCACAACAGAAATGAAAAATATTTACAAAATAATCGATTAGTTTAATCAATCAATGGTAAAATTGATTAAAACTGAACAATAAAATCACATAGATTCCCGCTTTTGCACCCATTTCTGAGGGGGCGAGTAAATAACATAAAAAATGATAACCAGATGGCGTTACAAAAAAGTTAATTTTGTTAACATTTATCTCAAGAGATGGCATTTCATTTTTTATCATTTCAATTAGACTCCGAAGTCGCTCGTTTTTCCAACGCATGACTGCCTGGGGGTTTTATCGACTGGCGGTCGACTCAAGTCGAATCAGTCCACTTTCACTCAAAACGACTGGCGTCGACTCATTTCGACTCAAAGGACAATTTAGGGGTAAGAGGGGTTTTTGAGAGACGATCTAGAAACGAAAAATAATCAATCTTCTGCTTTTAAATTATCTTTGAAGTAAATATAATAGCTTTTTTATTAATATCAAAATCATTTCAGAACTTCGTTACATAATCAAAGTTGTCATGTCTATCACATATTTGAAAAAACGTGTTGAAAAAAATGAGTCTGGTGCTTAAATGCTAAAGTGCTTTATGAAATTTATTAAATTATCTTTTTCAATATTTAAATTAAACATTTCCTTTTTTTGGAGGCTCTGGCTCTGACTTCAACTCTGTCTCTTGTTCTGGTTCTGGCTATTCATCATTAACATTCAATGGCATGATTTCCACAACTGGTTCTTCCGTGGCTTCAGTTGGGTTGATGACAGGATTAAATTCACAAATGTAAACAAAAGATTTAGATTTATCCACCTTGGTTTTCCTGGCTAAAACTCTATATTGATTTTTATGCTCTGCATCAATAAGATCACTGATTTCAATAGAAAGCCCGATGCTTTTCAACCCGTTCGTGAATTCTTCAAACTTTTCCATGGGGATGCTACACATCCCATTTAACACATGAGACTGAAATTGATCAAAAGTGAATTCCGATATTTTTGCAGGAAGGAAAACATAATTTATGTCTCCTGCATATCGCTCGAATGTTTTGAATTTCAAAGTTGATAAATTTATCACTTTCTTTCTTTTGACGTGAAAAGTCTTTTTTATTTGGACCAATACAATAGATTTTCTTGTTGAAATCTCCGAGTGAAAATTTTATATCATAATAGTTAACACTGAATCAAATAATTTAAAGAGAAAAAAAGAATGGGAAGAGAACAGAAATGAAGAGCTTGAGTAAATTTTTGACAAAAATCAATTCCCGGCTAAAACTCTATATTGATTTTTATGCTTTGCATCAAAGAACAATTTTTTGAGGGGTAAGAGGGGGTTTTTAAGAGACGATGCAGAAACAAAAAACAATCTTCTTGCAACAACAACTGCAAAATGCTTTAAAATTATCTTTAAAGTTAATATAATAGCTTTTTTATTAATATCAAAATCATTTCAGAACTTCGTTACATAATCAGCGTTGTCATGTCTAAAACATATTTGAAAAAACGTGTTGAAAAAATGGCGGGTCTGGTGCTATACTCAAATTTTGAGTCAAATGAGTCGACTTAGTCGAATCAAATTAGAGTGGACTAAGTCGACTCAGTTGATAGCTCAGTCAACTGGCGCTCAGTCCAATCTTCATCAACTGACTGAGCGACTCAACCGACTGACTTCGGAGTCTAATTTCAATTGTAACGTTTTATCCAATTTAAATATCGTTGCATTTTCACTGATACAGTAAATCAGGTTAAATACAAAAGTAAAAACAAAAATACAATTCTTTGATCTTAGATTAAAAATAAATGAGAAATAAATTCATCCAAAATGTCTTTAAGGCTGGAAGTGACAATAAGAGTCATTTGTCCCATAAAGATCAATGTGATTCCGAATCTAATATTTTTTTTTTTTATTTTCCTTTATATCATTTTTCAGATTCCATAAATTGAACTTTACGGAAATACAATTCAATGTAATTGAGATATCAACAGCTGCTAATGATGTCAGAGCAAGACACAGTTTCCTTGTGAGATGTGTTTTGCATGCTAAAAAATATCAGCTCATAACTGTGAAATTAAATTGAGTAATATTTATTACATGATAAACAAGATGTTTTGAGCCAAAACAAGAAATTAGCTAAATAGACAATAAAATTATCTCGAGCATTCATCAATTTTGATAGTCGACAATTAGTAATTGTGAATGTTTTCTAGTTTATCTTTAAAAACTAGTCTTAATTGGCAATTTACTAATTGTGCTTGCTAGTTAATAAAAACTGTTAATAAAATCAGTAGGTAATGGTGAGTTATTAGTTATTAACAAGAATGGAAATCATAAAAATGAGGATTCAATGAGTTATTGATATAAAGATAGAGACTTCAAGAGAGCCTCAGCAATATTGAATAAATATCAATTTATCTCTTTATTCACTTCATAAATGCTCAAATTGATATTAAACATAATTTTATGTTTATGGAAACAAAAGCTGTAAAATGATTTAAATGTTGAACAATTCACAATTGTTAGTTACATAATATGTCGCAAATTGAATTGTCAACTAGATTTGTGAGGTTATCAATTGCTGTCAGCAAATCAATGAGATTTTTCATATTGATAGAATACTATCGATAATAATCTGTGCCTAGGGTCTAAGTTTTAAGCACAAAAAGACTCTATGATATTGCATTTACCAGCTTGCCTAATTTCATGGATTTAGTAATTCGAGAACAGTCCCAATCGTCAATCATCTACAGGCTGATAATTTTATTTTTTTAGTAGTAAATTAACATGTAACCTTAAATTTGAAAGAAATACGGAGTAAAACCGAAACCGTTCATTATTAGGTCGCATTATTGTTGATCCAGGGTCTTTTTATTATGGACCCAACGAAAGTCAATATCACAGGTTCCATTCAGAACTCAAGCATCTAAAGCGTCGTCAGTCATAATGCAAGTCGGCTTACAAGCAATCTTCAGACTCAACAGCTATGCCGTAAAAGTGCCTGTTACTCTTCTTTTTTTCGCACAAGTTCGTTAAACTGAACTTTAAATGATCAAAAAACTTTAGAAAAGTAAAATATTATATACAAACTATTAATAATAATACATATTAATAAAGTTTTATATCTTCTGTCCAAAATGTTGCAGCATTAATTGTTATTCAAAAATCTGAAAAGATGTTTTTCACATTTTTAGTTTTTGCTCAAAAAATATTCATTAACAGTATAAGTTTGTGATGAATGTAAATCAATGAGCCACGAGGAGAGTTGTGTTTGTATATTATTAGTGTGAGTGAATACGTTTAAGTAAAATGTTGATCATTTTGAGGCTACTAATCATTGATACTTAATTCGTGTAAATATATAAAGTTTTAAGGGAAAAGTCCAGAAGTTTGAAACTGGTAGACGGGTTCAGTTGAATTAGGATCAGCACGCTTCTCGCATTTTTTTATAAGCAATCTAGAAATGAGAAAAGATAATAGATTAGCGATGTTTTTAGGAGAAAATTGGTCGGAATAACTCACCCAGAGTATTCAAGACACTGGTCTTCAGGTTCAACTTGTTGGAAACACTTGGTTTCCAAAATATTGAAGTAAATTACTCCAGTTAAAGTAGCTTCAACATCAGTTTCACTGGCTTTTTTCAGGCAACTTTTGAGTTCTCTATCACAATCACAGCGAGAACTGAAAATGGAAAAATAATACAATATTCATTAGTTAGTCAATTAGCTATACAAATATGTTTCATTAACATTAAATTCGACATTCTTTCAAAACCCTTAACATATTTCGAGAATCACTCAAAATGTTTTGTCAATCAATAATACAATGTTTCTTCTGGTAATGCCAAGATTCAAGATTTTTTTGTTCATTTTCGAAAGGATCACAAATTTGAACTTTTAAGTCTAATCACTACTTTAACTGATGATGTTTGATAAATGAACTAAAATTATTGAATGATTGTAGACAGAAAGTTCAAATCTTGAGTTTCAGCAGAGACTGGGCTCACCTTGTATAAGCTTGTGGGTTTTTCAAACCATATTTCGATTGAAAACCCCCGATAGACATTGGACAGTTATCATGAGCACGGCAACATTTGTCAAGCTCAACCCTACGACCTAAATCATCGTAACTCGATGAGCGATTTCCAGGTCCACAATATTTGGTTCCAGGAGCAATCAACAGATCACTTGCCAAATCAAATATGTTAGTAAGTGGTTCTAGTGATAAGATTGAGCTGGGTTTAAGGCCATTGCATGTTTTAACCAAAGTATTGAAGGAATCTTCATCAATCGGAATAACAGGATCAGTAGTCGAAGACAAAACTCCATTTACAGCATCTGGTTCACTAAAAACTGAACAGTTTACAATTGCTTTCTCCAAACTTGTGGCTGAATCGTCGACGGAAATATAAACAAGTTTCGATTTGGAATCGGTCGAGTAAACGATATTGTGAAGGTTAGCGTTTACAAGGGAAACCAGTGAAACAAGGGAAATGATTAGACTTGTCGAGAGCATTTTCAACCACAAAGCGAGTTAAGTTTTAACCACTAAGGCAAATACAAATTAACAGTTAAAGATGTCGATGAACAATGATTGAGTTAATTGTCTTAATTTTTATATATTACAAGCAATCATGATAATGGAAGTTGTTCAATATCACAATTAAATCATAAATTGATGCAGTTAGATATTTAGATGTTTAGAAGATTGATTTTGATTTCTCTATTTTTAATAACAACTGATTTTAATGGGTTTCTGTTGAAAGACGAGAAATAATAAAACAATTATTTCGTCTAATCAACTTAATTGTTGGTCAGGGATGTAATGATTGCAAGTTTATGAAGAAGCAAAGACGCTCTACATTTACTGGAAATTCAAATTATCTAAATTACAATTACAAATTGTGTGGTAACTCAAATCATTGTACATTGTGAATGTTTGATCGGTAAATGTTTGCTACAAAAACCAAGCTGATTAATTGTAAAAATCGTTTTTTATCAACAAAAATTCAAATTACCATGTTAATAGTCTTTGGATTTTGAAGAGAAAATTAACCTTCATTGATAAATTGTCACTTTTAACCTTCAATAAGCAAATCGTACAAATGATGATCAAAATGAGTAATTGATTGTTGAAACATCTGTAGTTAATCTATTCAAATTTAAGTCTAAATTGTTGATAGAATCTTTTACTTTCAACTTTACCAAAAGGATTTCGAAAATTGGTATTTTGTATACTAAGGATAAAACCAACAAGGACTACTTCTCACAGTTCAGGTGTTTCAAGCTTTCCATTTCATGTTCAGTTTTTGCGGAACTGTTTTATTGTGGACACGATTGATGAGAGTTTTATCGCTTTTAATGGTACTCATTCCAATGATAATATCATAGATATTCTTAAACTCTGGCCTCAGAAGTTATTCTGTATTATTCGTTACTCTACTACTACGCATAGTATTTCCTTTGCCATGACATTTTAACAGTTAAGATCAAACATTTCATTGACACCTAACCTTACCTTTTAGTTTGTTCAACTGTTTTAATTTAAATACTGAAAAAGTCGATTTACATTAAAAAGAGTTGATAATGACACAAAGAATCAAAAAAGATTTTATTAGAGTTGAATTGATACAGGAGCTCTTGGAGTTGAAATTTTACTGTAAGATTCTTGGTATCTCAATCAAATTTTGATTTAATTCATCTGTTTTCTGAAAAATATGATCAGAAACTAAATAGATTTGTATTCAATAGTTATATTTGAAAATTTTAACACCTTATTGAAATTATTAATGACAAAAAGTCTAACCTAATAGTTGTACTTATGGTAAAAATTGAATGTTTGATCAATCTTTACACTTGTATGTAACATTTTACCTTTGAACTAGAACTGTGAACTTTCATTGTAAAATTAGTAATTAACTAATGTAAGTCAATTGGTTAATCAGTGATGTATTATTAATGTGAATAGTGATCAGACCCATTCTAGGTTATTATCACCAATTTACTATGTTTTCCCGAAAAGATGGGAAGTTAATATACAATCAGTTTATTAGGAATCGAAATTAATTTCCCCTAAATTAAGGTTTCCCGTGAACTCAATACTTTATGGAGGTTTTGATCTTGATTTTCATGCTCATCTAATTAACGAAATTTCCGAAACTAATCATCTATTTTATTGTTGATGATAACTGATAACTTTTGAGTTGAAAGAATAAATTTCGCTTTCAATTGAGATTCTGTCAAATCATTTACCTAGTTGACTGAGCTACTGAGACAATGAGCTTGACTTTTTGTGTTAAAGGAACTGTAACTTGCTCATCTTAGGATAACCGTGATTTCTGAACTAAAACAATGCTCTTTGAGAATCGATTCAGTTATAACAATTAATTCAACGTCTGACTTCCATTGACTTGTTATTTGAAAAAGATAGACCCAGGAACAATAATTTCATGAAGGATCTTTAGAAAGCAACAAATTAGGGAATTTCATCAATTGCAATTGTGCGCTTGATCAACTCGATTCAACCAGCAATATGACATTACATGTAATGTTAGATAAGCTAAAATTCCCATTGAACTCACGCAATAATTTGATCAAATTATTTCTCGTCAATATGCCTTCTCAACTTATCTAATACTCTTTATTTGATCAAAATTTTAATTATTGAAAATTGATATGAAAGACATTTCTTGCTTTTGTAATTTATCTCATGGTATTATATTTTCATTTTTTCCTGGTTTTGTGTTCAGGTATCGATAAAAAAATAATGAATTTTTAGTTTTTTTCTAGAATTGACTTTGTTTAGTTCCTAACCTTCAATAGCAGTACAAGATTACATCTGCATTTGCCAAAATTGTTGGTAAAATGTTGAGGATTATTTAAGATGAAAACAATTTAACCACAAATGGATATTATTGATGATTGGTTGAGCCTGTGGATAACAGTAATATTTTGAGAAATTGATGTTTTCCTCAAAGTTTTGATGTTTTTTGGGGTTAATAGTGTTAAGAATGATCATAATAAGATACTTGATTACAATTTAATTGATTTTCTGATTCAGAAATGTAATATCAAAAGTGTTGTTGAAATAATAATTGTTTCGGATCAATTCAATTTAACATTGATAGATGGCGTTTCAACTCGTGCTTGAAGTTTGTTTTTACAGTTTTGATGTTCATATTTGATTATCAAAACTTGATTAAATTGTATTTTATATTTTTATCTTTGTGTTTATGAGTTTAATATGTTTTTAAAAAGGTGAGATTAAATTACACTCACTCCTCTGTTTCTTGCTTTTATAAATGTGTACAGTTTTACCTTATTCACCTTGATTTATACCGATTAAAAAACCTATCTTCATCTGGTAACGTTACTGCTAGACGTTTCATCAAGGTATGTCCTGTATAAGCCACAAGTTTGCCCTTCAAACACGAGACTGTGAAGTTTTTTACAGTTAACTTAAAATCTCTGTCTGTTCATTTTGGTGGGAATGTTGAACCGGTGAAATTTAAGTGCCATTAGATAGACATATAATTATCTCATCATTACTAGTCTTGTAATCCTATGAAGCTGCAGAAAGAAATTTATGTCCAGATTGTAGTTCATGATGTCGCCTGAGAAAGCTGATAAAGTCACCAATGTTTCCGACTTAATTGGCTCATGGGGTCCACTTCAGAAGAAAATTTTTGGACTGCTTGCCATTATCTATGTTGTTGCTCCCTTCAATTACTTGGGCATAACTTATTATGCCTTGAAAGATGAAATTTGGTGTGAACAAAATAACGGAACCAAAGTAAGTATTTATTAGAATTCATTTCGTTTTTGTTTGTTTATTAATTTTACGTTTTTTACAGATTATTTTGCATTCAGACAAGTGTACGTTTGATGAACTGGAGTCATGTAAGCAATGGGGCTTTGAAACAGATCGTATAACTATTTCTAGAGAAGTAAGTTCATTCTTCCTTTTTAACTTCAATGATAATCTAACATCTGACTTTTTTTGCAGTGGAACATGATTTGTGAGCGTTATTGGTTAAAATCATTCACCTTGTCTGTTTATGTATTTGGTTATTTGATCTCTGGTATCGTAATTGGCTATATTTCCGATAAATTTGGCCGAAAATTTGCATTGGCTTGTTCCGTTTTCCTCGAAATAATAAGTCAGATTGGAATCATTTTTACTTCAAATCTTTACGTTTTCATTGTATTAAGAGTGATTGACGGTATCGGGGGCTATGGAAGGTACATTGTTGCCCTGATTCTTTGTGAGTATTCCAATGGTTTCAAAATACATTTAAATGTGAATATGAACTTTATTCGTTCTATTCTATAAGGACTAGGGCTCATTCAAGTTTAGATTATCTTGCCTTTCATCGATCTTGAGTTTAATCTTTCATATGCATTCAAGATTTTCTTTAATTATTAATTTCACAATATACAGAGCCATAAACAAATACCATTTTCAGTTTGCTCAATATTTTGAGATTAAGATACAATGTATTTTCAAGTGCTTATGATTTTAACTCTTCCATGTTTATGTTTAACAACCGTTTAAATTATAATTGCTTCAGTAGTTGTACTACTGAATCAAGTAACTACCTCGTATTTTCATTAATTAGATGTATTAACTCTGCAACAAAACTGTATGTTTGAGACTTTTTTATGGCAGTTTAAATTAATGTCAATTATTTTCTGATAAGGTATGGAAAATGTTGGTCCAAATCATCGTGGTAAAATGGTAATCAGCTTTGAATGGCTTTGGTATATTGCTACTTATGTGATGATTATTACTTGCTACTTCGTTCTTGATTTTCGCACCATTTTCATTGGAATCACAATTTATCAGCTGGCAACATTGATTGCAATTTATTACCTTCCTGAGTCACCTCGATGGCAGTTAATCTCTGGTGATAAGACAAAAGCTGGAATAATATTGAGACAATATTCTGAATTGGATGAGGATATATTTAATGCTAAATTTGGTCAGCTTTGTGAAAATTTGAATGAATTACAACTAAAGGAGAAAGAAAATGAAAAATTCAATATCTTTCGTTTATTCAAATACAAGGAAACCAGGAAAATATTTCTATGTTTCTTGGTCATTTGGCTGATGCGATCATTCGTTGAGGATGGAATATATTATGTTTCATTTGATCTATCTTCTTCCGTATTTATTAATAACGCAATATTCACCGCATTTGCTGCTGCAACCAATCTCTACATGACATATTCTGTAGACAAATATCGACGTAAAGTTTTGTTAATCGCTGGCCTCATATTATCATCAGTTTCTCTTGCCCTAGCCATACCTTTTGCCAATTCAGATAAAATGTTCCCAATGGTTCTCTTTGTTGCTCTGGGCAATTGCTTCATTACATCCACATACAGCCTTATTTATACTTACACACCAGAAGTTTTTCCAACTCAGATAAGGAATGTTGCCGTTGGAATATGCTCATCAGTTGACAAAGTTGCTTCGATTTTTGGTACCTTTATTAATCAAGTGGTAATTAATGTTCCTTTAAATGGTATTCAAAATTTTTCTCCTTTTTTTATTGATTTGTATCTTTTTCCATTTCTTCCAGACTGCTTCGTACAATTTAAAAGTGACTCTAATTGTTTTAGCGATTCCTGGTTTAATTGCAGCCGGATTCACCACTTTACTAAATGAGACCAAAGGAGTCGAAATTCCGGATACAATTGAAGAAATGATTCAAATAAACTCAAAGAAAAATAAACGCACTAATAAATAACTTTGGCCAAAAATTAACTTCCACGTCTCAATTGTTTTTCATTAGCATTTCCACTAGTCTTTACTAGTCATTAACAATTTACTCAGGCTCTTGTATAAATGAATTTGGTATGAAGGAGAAAACTTCTCATTTGATATCATTTTCAATGGAATTGAATCGAAGCTGAGCAAACTTAACCTTTCAATCAAATGAAGACTCTAATGTTGTATCAATTCAGATGCTATTAGCTTTCAATCAGCTCGACAATATGGATGTTTGATTTAGTGTTTAGTCGCGATCAATAAAAAATGACCAGTTTTGGTGTAAATGATTTAAATAATAAAAAGAATGAAGATGATCGTATTGTGAATATTTCTGATCTAATCGGTTCTTGGGGTCCTTTTCAAAAACGGTTATTCATCATAATCGGGTTGTTTCAATGTGTTTATCCATTCAACAATTCATCTTTATTTTATTTCTCTATCAAAGAGGATATTGTTTGTGATAAAGGAAACGGAACTCAGGTATTGTCCAGTGTTAATTTGTAAAGTTGACTTTTAAAGATTCATATAATTAACAGGTAATTTTCCAACCAGATAAATGTTCACTCAATGATTTAGACGCTTGTATAAACTGGGATTTCACTTCAACTCGAGTCACCATTTCAAAAGAAGTAAGTTTGCCGAATGTTGACCAATTTTGACTAATCTTATCCTTATTCACCTTAAGTGGACATTCGTTTGTGAAAGATACTGGTTAAGGTCAGTTACTCTGTCAGCCTACGTAGTTGGTCAGTCAATCGCTGGTTTCTTTGTTGGTTGGATCTCTGATCGATTGGGTCGTAAATTTGCCATAAAATATTGCATTATATTGGAATTAATCTGTGAATGTTATTTAATTGTAATCAACAATGAGTTCTTATTCATGGCTGGACGAGTTCTTCATGGGATGGCTGGATTTGGACGTTCACTGTGTTCAATCATCTTACGTAAGCTTGAGTCTCTAAATGTTTCTTTATCTAATCAGCTGTCAATTTGATTGTTGTTCAACAGTAATGGAAAGTGTTGATCCACAATATCGTGGTAAAGTAATGTTCTGGTACGATTCTATCTGGTACATGTCGACACTCGTCATGATTGGAGTTGCCTATTCGGTTCCAAACTTTCGCTTAATTTACTTAGGAACTGCGAGTTACCAGATGATCTGTTTACTTTTAGTCAAATTTTTACCCGAATCTCCTCGTTGGCAAATGGTTTCTGGGGAAACTGATAGAGCTGAGGTTACTTTACGTCAATTTTCATATGAAATGAGTGAAACCCGATTTGAAGAGAAATTTAAAAAATTAAAAGATCATCTGAGTAAATTTGAAACAGTCGAAAAATTAGGAATGATTAGCTTGTTTCGCCACCGGAGAACAATTAAATTGGTTCTAGTTTTATGTCTCATTTGGGCTGTTCGGGCAATCGATGGTTCTGGACTTCACTATTGTACACTTGATTTACCAGGAAATGTCTTTTTCAACAATTTCATCTTTCATTCGTTTGCTATGCTGGCAGTTTTATTGATGACTTTAAGAGCTGACAGTCACCAAAGGAAGGTTCTGTTAATTGCTTTTTTCTCTTTCAATTCATTCCTTTTTCTGTACTTCGCCCTTTTCTTGAGCGGTTCATCGCATTCAATTGTGATCAAAATTATTTTCGTCTCAATTGCAACCTTTGGTAATGCAGCTCTCAGTAATTTGCTTTATGTTTATACACCAGAAGTTTATCCAACAAATATAAGAAATTTAGGAACTGGAGTTTGTACAGTTGCAGCCGAGTTTGCAGCTTGCTTAGGCCCATTCATTAATCAACTGGTAAGTATTTTATTTGATGATTGATTAGCTTAGTTAATTGAATAGTCTTTGCATTTTGAATTGCTTTTACAGACTTCAATGACAAGCTTAAGAACCACTTTCATTGGACTTTCATTGGCCGCTTTAACCGGTGCTGTTTCAGTGACTACTTTACCGGAGACGAAAGGGGTTGAGATGCCTGATACAGTTGAACAAATGTTATTATGTGATCATTGTGATGAAGAAAAGTAGTAATTCAATTCACTGATTGATTATCAATAAATTAGTGGCTAGTAATGATTAACTCAAACGTAGTTTGACTTTAAAAAGTAATGTGTATCAATAATTTTGTTGGTTTGGAAATAAATTTTGAAGGAAATCTCATTAGAAAAATTCATTTATTAAATAAATAGAATGAAAAATTATTAAAATGAACAGAATGGTTGGAATGATTGAAATGTGAAAATGAGATGAAAATGAATGACGATGCTTAATGATGATAATTATAAGGTGAATTTAACCTTCAATTGAGCTGAGGTTTTAAGACTAGAATAAGTAATTGAAATAATCACGATACTCAATATATAAATAAAATTAGTCTAAATTACAAAAGCTTGATCAAAGCCTAAGTCGATCAGTTGAATCATTATCAATGAAAACTGCAGTAGCTGTTGAGGCATCGCTCGATGAGTCGCTAGCTATTCCTTTGATTCTATTATCACAGGCAAATCCGTCGTTAGTTAATCTGGTCCCATTTTCACCAGGAAAAGGCATGAAAGCTGATCCATGAGAAACAGGAGCTGAACCTTGAGGAGCTGGAATGAATGCTCTAGCGTTTATTGGAGGTAAACGAGTGTTGGTATGATGAAAACGATGATGATGACCAGAAGATGTCGATGGAATAGCTAAATGAGCAGATCTTCTTGAGCCTACTGTTGAATGACTATGATGTGAGTTAGTCTCATGGCGATCATCACCAGCAGGTGTTGAACTTGTGCGCATATAAGCCGGAGAATCGGACAATCCACTCGATGAACTACCAATTGTGCCATCATAATGAATAGCACCTTTCAGTGTTGCAATTTCGGTATAAACATTAGCTAAGGGTTGATATTGAGGAGACCAGTTAGAGAGATAATTCCAACTATAAGCTTCAGACAATTCTTCTTCGATGGAAGACAAATCATTCCATTCATTGGCATCAATTATTGGTGGTACCATTTGTGGACGGCGCATTTGATTACGATCACGCAGACTACCCGTTACCAGACCAGTTCTTGGTCTATTTAAATAATCTTTCGTTTCGCTTCCTGCTTTACTTTGAACTTCTTCTGCAAGATGATCTAAATCATCTTCTCGAACGGCAATATCAGGATCAAAAATTACAAGTCGAGCTAAATATTCAGCTGTTGTTGGTATTAGTTCATGTTCATCGGGTGGATCTGGATTGTCCAAGCCAAATGTATGATAGCCATCACCTTCATTAATCATTCGAACCTCTTCATCGACTTCTTCCAAATCTCCTTCAACTTCATCGTCATCTTCAGCCGAGCCACGACCACTAGAAGCTGAATGTCCTTCTCCATTAATATTATTTCCTGATCTACCTGCTAAAGCTCCTGGTGTTGGCTCTCCCGAACAAATGTTATTAACTTCATTATAGCATGGAGGAAGGGATTCATGCTGGCCAGAAGTCAAGTAAGCGGTTGAACGAGGTAACATATGATGATGATGTTGTCCAACTAAATGATGCATACTTTGGAATGATGCGTGATCGTAAGTTGTTGAAGTGTCATTCATTGAATCAATCGTTGTATTACCAATATGAGTACAACCATCAGCTGAGTTTCGATTAGCACCAATTTTACGAAGAAGAGTTCCAACTCCAGGTACAATTGATGCTAAAGCTGATGTTGTCATAAATGATTGATGATGATGACCAGTCGCATGATGGTGATGACTTTGACCAGGTCCAGATGATTGATCAGAAAGATGGGATCGGATAGCAAATATTGCAGCCAACAGCACACAAGTTACAAAAAATAGTATGATAATCAGGAACATAACCCAACCAGGTAAAGATGTTATCTGTGATCCAGTGTTTGAAGTTGAAGATGGAGATGAAGAGAGGTTTGATCCTTCATACAGAGACCTGAAGAAAATAAAATAACCAATTTGTTAGACAAATTCCTTCAAAAATATTTCAAAGAAAGATAAAAGTAGAAAATACTTACCCTGATTGTAAAATATCATTGTTATTGGATGAGTGCAAAGTTGATTTATCATCTGTTAAAATTAGATTTACTCCTATTCGTGTTAATGAACTGAGTGAATCTGCCCGACCAGACGAAGCTGAAACAACTAGTGAACTGAAATGAGGTGGAATTTTGTCTACCGACGCAGTATTTATAGTAATTAGTCCAGTTGTTGAATTCAAATTGAATTTCTTGGCAGCTCCGGGAGGTGAAGAGCTTCTGATTGTATAAAATATTTGTCCGTCAGGTCCAAGATCATCATCTGTTGCTGAGATATGACCAACAACAACGTGTGGAGTTCCATATGAAGTTGTTACTTTAAAATCATAGCGTTCTGAAGTGAACTTTGGTGGAAATTCATCAATCGATCCAATTGATGCTTCAATCAATACTTCGGCTGAACTAGAAGATGTTTCAACAGCTTTTAAAACCATTTTAAAGGTTGGAATGACTTGATAATTTTCAAGTGTTTCATAATCAATAGCTTGAGTAGTCACAATGTAACCAGTTCGAGTATCTAGACCAAAGGGTACAAGTCCATTCATTGATGGTGTAAAGCTGTAATTTAGTGAGGACATGTCAGCATCTGAAGCCATTATTTGGACGATAGGAGTACCAATAGGAGTATTTTCATCGACAATGATTTTGTAAGATGTTAGCGCAAACTTTGGTTTATTATCGTTCTCATTGAGCACATTGATGTTAATCACACACAAATCATTTTGCTTGGACAAAGAATCAGTTGAAGATGTAGCTACAATGGTTAACTGATGAAAAGAGTAGGACTCAAAATCAAGCGACTTGTTGATTGTTACAACTCCAGTTATCTCATCAATTTGGAATGCTTCCAATTCATTTCCAGAGTAAATTGAATACCGATAAGATGAACCATACTGTTCAGATTCTGAGCGGACTGAGGTTACTTGATGACCGGGTGGAGCACTTTCACTCATGTAAGTGGAGATAATTTGGGATTTAAATGCAGTTGAACTGTTTCCTGATTCTTCTGAAGTGACTTTAATATGAACAGTGAATGTTGTTGGATTATTAACGGTAAGATCGTCATCAGTTTGATGAGAACGACGAATGATTGTGAGCTTGTATTCACTACGACTTGGTCTTTTGTTCATGATTAATTGACGACCTCTAAGTAAAGCAAAAGATCGATCAACATTTCCATTGGTTAGAGTAAAAGTATCAAAATCGAATCCATCAAGTTCAAGAAGCACTTGATCAACGAAATCTCTTCGCACCGAGATTGTATAGCTTGTTCGCTCCTCTTTTGATCCAGAATCAGATTCACTGTTTAATAAATATGACAATGACTCGTTGTTAACATTGGTTCCTCCAGGAATAACCACCAATACCGAACACCTGGCTTTGTGGCCAGAAATGAATCGACCAGCTTCATTTGCATATCCAGCAATAACTGTAAGTTGGAAAATTGAGCCTGCCGTTGGACTTTTACTTAATCGACTCAAACTTCGGTTATTGTATACTGTTCCTGTATACGAATCAATATAAAATCCTTTGGATGAACTTGAACCTCCAGCTAATTTGTAGGATACTTTTAACCGCGGCAAACCATCAAAATTGTTATCTGAACTGATTGTTGAAACTTGAGCGATTTTACAGTTTATCGATCCTGATAAAACACATGGATGAGTGTTCAATTTGATTGGGACAAAGTAGTAATCTTTAGCGAAAACTGGTGGCCTTTGGTAGATACTTTTTGGTTTAACTTTGATAACAACTTGAGTTTCAATCGTATTAAGAGAGTCGGAAGCTAGGACAGCAATTTTATACTGCGCTGGTTGAGAAGGTAATGATGTTGGATTGGCTAGAGACTTGTCTAGTCGGGATTTCAATGTAATCCGTCCAGTGTAAAGTCCGATATCAAATAGATCATCAATGTTATCACTTAAACCATCTAAATGAGAGCGTTTCTGATAATATGTTAATGGAGGGAAAGTATCGACATCATTAGCAGTAAGTGAGGCAACAGTGGCACCAACCTCGGCATCTTCAAAAACAGATATCTCTTGATAGGGTGGAAACACTGGAACATTATCATTTATATCGATAACATTGATCTCAAGTGTACAATGGGAAGACAACTGTGATGTTGTTGATGCTAAATTGCGCGAGTCTCTAGAAGCAGATGATAGTCCAGTGGGACCTTCATCATTGGCAACAATGGTCAGAACATAATGATCTCTAATTTCTCGATCAAGAACTATGTTTGTTTTTACAAATCCTGATCCTGGTGGGTCAATGATGAAAGCATTATCATGATTACCTTCCAAGATGTGATAAGTTACAGTTGATTTACCCGATGATCGACCAGACAAACCAATGTCAATAGAATCACGAGATACAATTGCACTATCGACATTATCAACATCAAGAGCACTTATTTGTGTGACAAAAGTTCCTTTTGATTCACCTTCACGAACAGTTGAAATGTAATGAGCTTGAGTAAATCGAGGTGCATTATCGTTGACATTAATCAGCATAATGGTAACAGTGAAAAAGATTGGCTCAGAAAGAGGGGAGGTTCGTTTTCGAGCAACTATAACTAGTTCGATTCGTGATGGATCCGTTTCAAAATCTAACAATTTACGGATTGTAATAATTCCAGTGTTGGGATAAAGATAAAAAGTTGACTGATTAACAGAAGTGAATGCAAATTGGAACTGATAATCAGCTAGTGGTGAGCGAGCTTCATTATGTCCATTGCCCCGGTAAGTTGATCGATAGCGTGACATAAGATTAATAACTTCTGTTCCAAGTGGCACATTTTCAAATAATGAAACATTATAAGGAATTGAAGGTCGAGCTCTTTTAGTAGACTCACTAGAACCAATTGCTTTGGCAGATAACATTTCACCTGATAAGATGACCTGAACAAGTGTGAGAGTTGAATATGGTGAGCCCGAACGACGGATTTCAACAAAAGCTTCATGGTGTCCATAGATGAGTGACTTTTTGACAGTGATTGAACCAGATCGTGAGTCTAATATGAAGTAGTCAGAAAAACGAAGATTTGGATCTTCATCAACAATTGTATAAACTAAAGAGTTTGTTGAATCTGAAGGTGAATCTCCACCAGATCCAGTGTTGGATGAGGGCAAACCATCAACTCCACCATTTCGCTGCGAGTTTTCGGTATTGACAACAGATATCCGTCCTATTTCTGAACCAACTTTATAGTCCTCTTTATAGCCAGAAACTTCAATAATTGTTGGGTAACTTGCTAATCGAGGAGAATCAGATTCATGTGATCCCATTACAGTAACTTGAATTGTTGTTTTTGTCGTATGAGCTGCGTATGGTGAGCTTCCAACATCGATGGCCAAAACATCAAAAGACAGTGTTAGACTGTGTGGGTTTGAAGCTGCGAAATCGACTCCTGGTAAGGTCACCAATTTAGCCTTACGAGCTTGTGCTACTGCAGCACAATCTGTTGTTATAAGTCCAGTATTGGGATCGATAGTAAAATACATTGCTTCTGGTGATCCTGATGCTAAAATGGTGTAATAGATTGAGTTTTCTGAATCTGGATCAATCGCCTTCACTTTTACCACAGACAAAACTCGAGATCCACTTGTTTCACAATCAGATAATCTTGATTCATCAATCACAGCATAATAAACTGATTTATCAAATATTGGACTGTTGTCGTTAACATCTATCAAGTCGATGGTTAAATTACATTGACTTTTATGAAGTGAATCGGTAACTTGAATTGTTAAATTATAACCAGCTTTTCTTTCTCGATCGAGAGGAGCGAATGTTGATAGCTGTCCAGTTGCTCGATTGATTCCAAATTTACCCTCTTCATTACCACTTATTATTGAATAATCCAAATTAGGTAATAATGACGATGAACTATTTGAACCTGTTTGCGAATCCAAGTCTGAAGCTATTATTGTGTGGAAAATTGTTCCTGGTAAAATATTTTCAGGTATTTTCACTGATTGTGAAAGACTTGAAAATATGGGTTGGTTGTCATTAACATCAAGTAAAACCACAGTAACGATGGTTGAAGCTGAGTGAACATAATCTTCATCAAAGACAAAAACTGGAATTCGGTGAATCTCTTTAGTCTCTCTATCAAGTGATATTAATGTTTTCAATTCACCCGTTTTTTGATCAATAGAGAAATATTTATACTCTTCATGTCCCGGTGGAATGAGATACATAAGATCAGAATTTGAATCTGCGTCTTTGGCTTCGATTGTTGCTATTAAGGTTCCTGGAGTAACAGATTCCAATATTTCACGATTATAGGGTGGTTGAGTGAAGATGGGCTTTTCGTCGTTTATATTGGTAATTTTAAGAGTAAACAAACGAGAAATTGTCTTGATTGGATTACGATTTGGCTCAAAATTAGTTGAAGTTGATCCAGTTCGGCCACCATTTGATCCTGTTCTTGGTCCAGGAGAGGTACGCAGATAGATTGTGGCAGTTACATTCAACCGATACTCTTGAGTTTTTTCATAATCAAAAGGCTCTAATAAGGCAACTAAACCATTTTCTGGATTTATAGAGAAAACACTTTCTCGGCCAGAGATTTCACTAAATCGATAATTAACGTCAAAATGGTCATGACTGATATTCAAAGACAGACGGATAATGTTTTCATTTTGATGGCAACAATCTTCAGGGAATGTGTAAGTTGCTGGTCCATTGAATGTTACTCGGTCCATATTACGACCAGTGTCTTTAACCCAAAGCAATCTAATTGCTTGTGATCCAATTGGTGAGCGGTGAATCAATGAAGATCCAATATCTTCAGGTATCGATAAATAAGCTTGAACTATTATAATGAGTTCTCCTTGGTTGACTAAATCATTAATCAATTCCTTATCAAATGGTTTGAAGGTTAAAACGGATTTATCATTAATAACTAAAAGGCGATTCAAAGTTACATCATTAAGTGACAAACTTCGAAGTTGGTAATTGAGATTTAAACCAGTACATCCAACCGACCAAGCTTCTGCTAGAGGATAAAGGTCAATTGATCGCTGATGAATTGTTTCCTCGGAAACAGGGATCATTATGTCGAGAAGAGTGCCATTTGATTCTTTAAGATCACGGGTGATTGTTTCGAATGGATGACAATCCGAAATATCATCAATGATTGTTATTTTAACAGTTGAGATTAATTGATAATTTTTACCAATCACATTTTTGGAATTCTGATGAGGACGGAAATAATTAATGCCTTTATCAAGAGGAATTGATGTCAGTGCACATTGCCATGGGTCGATGTAGATTTGGAATGAACTTTCAGAGCTTGACTCATAATCTAACGATTGGCCTACAATAATGTGAATTGTAGAGAAGTCGTTTGATTCAATAACAAACTTGTTTGAATTTGTTTCTTTCGGAACTTCGTTCCCATCAATATAACTTGGCCTCTCATATTTAACATAATAACCATTTGAACAATAACTAAATCGATGGAAAAAGTTAGCCATAACATCAGGTAGAGCAACATTGATGGTTCCAACTTCACTTCCTATTTCTGCTGTTTCACGAACACGAAATTCATGATAAACATTATCCTCGGAATCGGATGATGATAATTTTGTTGAACTAGGCGAGGAACGATGTTCTGGATGTTGAACTTGACCTTTTCCAATAAAAGATCGTTGAATAACATCAATTTGAATAATCTTAATGGGAGACTTAAGTCCACCTCCATCAGTTACTTGAACTCCAACTCTATAAGAGGCTAGTTTTTCCACTGAACGAGCAGTTTTTATTACACCATTAACTCTACCAATAACAAACAAATCTGAATCTGAATCAATCAAAGAATAAGTGAGAGTTCCATTGATTCCCGAGTCAGGATCAGATGCTTTTACAGTAGTAACATAAGTTCCTTCAGGTGATCCAAGGGCAATTATGTGACGATTTGAATTTCCAGAGGTCATCTCATCGATAATGAAGGTTGGACTATTATCATTCACATCGGATACATCAATTATAACAGTAGTTTTTGACTCTGCTGATAATGGACTAGGTTTACCAGAATCGTGAGCATCTATCTTGAAAATGTATCGGTCTTTTGCTTCTCGATCTAGGTTCGATTTTAAACTGATCTCTCCGGTTTGTGGGTCCAAAGCAAACTTAGAAGCCTCAAGACTAAAACCTTTGAAAATTGAATATCGAAGAGTCCCATTTTCACCAAGATCAGGGTCGATTGCTGAAACAAAACCGATAACAGTTCCTATTGGTGCCGATTCGGAAATAGAGAAAGACCATTCTCTCGATTTAAAAAGAGGTCGATTATCATTTGTGTCAACTATTGTTATCGTCATTGAAGTTGATGATCGAAGTGGAGCTGGAGATCCATGATCGGTAACTTGAATGGTGAAGGAATAATTGTCTTTCGATTCCCTGTCAAGTGGTCTTCTTGTGTAAAGTATTCCGTTGTTTGGAAAAATAGCGAATGGAAATTCTGATTCAGTATTCTTTGAACCTTCCTTAGTTTTTCCAGAGACAGTTTCAATTATAGAGTAAGTTAATCGCGCATTGTTACCAGTGTCATCATCAACAGCTCGAATTTGATAGATTTGTGCACTGACTGGCGTGTCTTCACTTAGGACAAGATGAAACCCAGGTGATTCCATAAGCAAAGCCGAGATTGAATCAGAATAACCGACAAAACGAGGGACACAATCATTAACATCTTGAATATTTACATCAACAACCATAGAGCAACTAAGATCACCACCATCGGTAGCAGTAACAATCAATCTATAATGGTTAAGCTTCTCAAAATCAAGAGACGATCGAAGAGTTATTGCTCCAGTTGATTTATCAATTATAAATGGTGTTGAATCGGAGCCTAGCTGAGTGTCCTGAAGTGAATAAGTTAAATTACCAAGGTCATCGGCATCAGCATCACTTGCTTGAGCAATTAAAACTGTAACATTATTAGTGGACATATTTTCCGGAATTGCTATCTTTAACCGATCAGTTCCAAATGTTGGATGATTATCATTAACATTGACTATTGTAACATTAACTTGAGTATGACCGTAACGGTATGGACCAGGATTTTCACCCTCTTTAGCTTGGACATTGAGCAAAAGAGAAGAATACTTTTCAGCATCAATTGTCTCACTATTAACACGGATAGTTCCTGTGGTTGGATCAATGGTGAAATAAGCATCAGGATCACCCGAGTAAATAGCATAAGTTAATGGCGATGAAGAGGATGCAGTTGCCGATACTAAGCCCACTTTTGTTCCAATCAAAGAATTTTCTTTAATCTCGAAACCGTAATGACGCTGAGAAAATACTGGTGAATAAGGGCGCGATTGGCCTCCTTGAGGAAGCACCGAAACATGAACTAAAGCAGGTTCAATGGATTCTCGATCATCACCATCAGTTGCAGCTATTGTTAATATATAAAATGGTTTGGCTGATGAAAGCGGTCGTACAATATAAATGCGTCCTGTAACAGGATCGATTTCAAATGCTTTTTCTTCATTTCCTGATCTGATTGAATAGCGAATTGTCCCAAAAGGTGATCCCGAAGAATCGGCGTCAGTAGCAGCTACAATCAGTATTGGTGCAGGTTCAATAAAGCGTCCTTTAGACAATGGAACGATATTTTCCTCAACTGAAACTTTATACTCTTTTGGATAAAAAATTGGTCCGTTATCATTGACATCTATTAATGTAACTTTAACCATTGCTGTTGTTGATAAGCCTCCTATTATGAGATACAAAATGAATCATTATTAATCAATTGAATAATTATCTTGAGAAAATCACGTTCATTAAAAAAAGTTCAACGTATATCTTAAAAGTGAAGGGTGAGATTTGAAATGATAAAATGAAATAATAATCTAAATCATTAAGAGACTTGACATTATCTTGTATTGCCAATGATGAGCAACGTATTAAAAAAGATGAGTTTAACTTTTAGCTTTTATACTTTGCTTTTGATCTGCTTTCTTCATCTTACTATAACATTTCAATGATTAACGGCAATTCAATTGAGCAAGCAGTTAATACTTCCTAAAAGTTTGAATAAAAAAACTTGAAAGTTCAATGTTAAGCCTTAAAGATCAAAATATCAAAATATCAACCATGAAAATATTCACAGCGTGAAGATGAAACATGAATAATGAATCATGTTTTATTTCAAGATTAACGAATTTTTCAACAGATTTCTATTGCTTTATGTAACATTAATATAGTCAATCAACTCACCTCTATCTGTAGCCATAATTGGAATATCATAAGATCGGCGTTTTTCAAAATCCAAGGGTCGAGCAATACAAAGATCACCAGTTGATGGGTCAACAATGAAATCCGAGGTTAAAATAAGTGAACGAGATTTTTCCGAAGTAATGCTCATTGGAATATCTGATTGGCCCAATGAAACGGCATTAACTGAACTATAATTAACCAAAGAGTTGACTCCACAATCTGGATCAGAGGCAGAAACTCGAAGTATACACGATCCAACCTGAGTATCTTCACGAGTAGTTACATTATAAAAGGATTGATCGAAAATGGGTTCGTTATCATTGACATCACTGATTGTTACAATTAGAGTTGCCGTTGCCGTAACAGATGAACCATCGGTTGCAGTTACAACTAATTGTGGTGCTGAATCAGTTTCACAATCAATTTGTGATGAAGTTGTGATTAGTCCTGTTTCTGAGTCAATAACAAACCATGTGTTTGAAGTTGAATTTGAATTGGAACCACTAAATGAGTATGTAACTTGAGAATCTGAATCACGATCAATTGCTTTCATTTTGTAGACAACAGTTCCAGGATCGGCGACTTCGGGTAAAGAAGCGTGATAAACTGATTGCTCGAAATAAGGTGGATTATCGTTGACATCGGAAATTTCCAGATCAAACACCATTGAAGTATTGAGCGGAGGACTTCCAGAGTCACTAACAGTCACAGTTAAGGAATATTGTGCTTTAACTTCACGATCGAGTGATTTGGATACAGTAACCATGTAAATGGCAACATCTGACCGATTAAGACTAAAATAATCATCTCCACCCGATAGAGTTACCATGAATTTGTTAAACTCTGATGAAGATAAACCCGTTGGACTGGCCGAGTCAGGATCATTGATGGAAATTCTGGCAACAAAATCACCAATTTGCGCATTTTCGGGAACAATTGGCTGAGCATCTTCAGTTAGAAACAATAAATTGATAGTCGGACGATTATCATTTACATCAACTACTCTGATTGAGACAAAGGCTGAAGTCTCAAGAGGCTGTAGACCACAATCTCGAGCAACAACAACCAACTCGTGAAGATCTTTTGATTCAAAGTCAACCGGACGAGATAAATAGATCCATCCAGTGTCTTTGTTAATCTCAAAATAAGACGATTCCGAAGACGAAGTACCAGATCCAGGTCGTCGATTGGTGGGCAATGAATATTCAATTTTACCATTTGAACCTTCATCAGAGTCAGTGGCAACAACCTGAAGAATCGGCGTCCCAAGAGTCGCATTCTCAAGCACTGTAGCCACATACCTGGACTGACTGAAAATGGGTTCATTATCATTGACATCAAGAATACTTATATTGACCAGAAGTTGGCTCGATAACGGAGGCAAACCACCGTCCAGAGCTTCAACAATTAATGAGTAACGGGAGGTTGATTCACGATCCAATACTCCATTTACCTGGAAAAATGTGAAAATGATAAAAAGAAACAATTGTCACAATTAAAAGACCATTAATTACATTGCATTGTCAAATAACCTTTAATCATTGTTTTCAATTCTCTTTCCATTCTCTGTGTTACTTCTATTTATCTGGTTCACTCAATCAACTAATTAATTAATGATCACTTGTTTAATTAGTGGTTATCCCTTTCATCCTTATCACTGGGATTGGCTCTCACTCAACCAAACCCTTTCTCTTAATCATTTTCTCATCCTCTTTATCTTCACCCACTACAAACCTTTATTTTTACCTCTTTTTTCTTACTCTCCTTTTTCCTGTCTTAACCTCAACTTATTCATCTTTCTCACAATTGTACACAAATGGACAATTTAAGTATCATTAATTCAATGTTCAATAGATTACTGTCAACTCAATTTATGTTAATGTTTACCTGAAGATCATGATACAGAACATCATCCTTTTCTCTATGGCTTGCTAATCTGAATGCATTACCATGATTTCCGGATATGATTCGATACTTTTGGGTCCCAAAGATACCTGAAAAAACAGATGATAAACAGAGATAAAAATTGAATTAATTGTACCTTGGTTAGTAAACACAGAAACAGGGTAAAAATTATGTTAACTAGGATCGCCTTTTCCCGTGATTGTCATCCTACAAACCATGATTGATGTGTTGTAACATTTGAAATTCATCATTACAATTCAATCTTAATTTTAATAATTAATGGACATTCATTTTATTTCTTTTCTTCTGTTCTATTTTGCTGTTAACAAGATAAATTCAAGTTTTAGCTTTACATCTTTTTTGGGGTAAAATGTTGAGAAAAAACATCAACACGTTGATGAATAAAAGAAACACGTTTAATGAGACCCTTAAAGGTCACTAAACAATGTGAGGCTCATTTCAACAGCTATTAAAAAAAACAACAGCAACAACAATTAATCAACAAAATGATAGTTTTATTATTATTATTATCATGAGTAGCATCATTAACATCCGCAGCAAGAAAAGAGTCAAAATTGCAAGAAGCATCCGGAAGCCGGTTAAAGTTATTGATGTTGAAATTAACACAAAAAGGTTTAACAATAAACGAGCTGAAAAATGTAACATTAACAGTTGACTAATTAATTATGGATTGTCATCAATAAACTGAAACAATTTAAAGTAACTGAATGACCATTGAAATCACTGAATATTGAGTATTACTGAGTAAACCAATCAATATCGTATATCATTGTAATAATGTTTAAATATCAATAAAGTAAAGTAGCTTTTGCTTAATTATCAGAAAGGTAAAGGTAATAAAATGTAAAATATTGAAATGGTTAAAGTAAATCAGTAAAAATGAAAGATAAAAAGTTTTTCTTCTGTTATCATTATTATTGCTATTACTTGCTATTATTATCAGCATCAACATGATTGTGAGTAAAGACAAAGTACGCTGATGGATAAAGGGCTTGAGGCACTCACGGCTCAAGAGTAGTTAAAGTTATTCTGTCTGGTTTAGGTCGGTAGCCAATGTCGGGAGAAAGTGGCCTCAAATATAATATGAACGACTATGAAGGATAAGGATGAAGATGAGGCTAAGGGCAGCAGGAAACCATTAAATTAATGAAACAAGAAGCTACATAAAAAAAATAACAAATAATGGACAGAGAAGGGGAGAAGAAGATGATGATTATGATGATTATTATGATTATAATGATAATAATGATGAAGAAGATGATGATGATGATGGTGAAGATGATGTATTGAGCGTGAGAGACAGCTTTTGGAACTTTATTTTGTTATTCCAAAGAAGCTCAACTAGATAGATAATAGTGTAATCAAGGGATACGTTGGTTTGTCATTCACGCCAAGAGCTTAACTAAATTAACAGAAATGGTTAACTTCGTTTTTTTACAATCAAGATAATTATAATAAGCAATATAATATGCAATAAGTTAACCATGTAATCGTGAAAGATAGAGACTTGAAATTATTGAAATTGCAAGTTAAGAGCAAAATGGTTTCTTCATTAAATTTCAGTTTTCAGTTTCAATTGATTTTGCTTCAATTGTCATTTTACAGATTCAATTTTTTCATCTATTGGATAATGATTAAAGAAAATTGTTTAATTTGAAAATGTTTTAATTTTAATTTTCATCTTTTCTCTTTACTGAATTTTTTGTTATATAACAAGAGTCAAAATGAATGCTCACGAATGATATTCGCCTCAGGCTTAGAGGCAATGTTTTGAGCTTGAAAATGTCTCACAGTTGATTGATGGAAGCAACTATAAGAGTAAAAAGACTCTTAAACCGACATTCATCATGATGATCATATTAACCATCAAGTTACTACTGGAGTAAAATTCAGTCAATCGTGTAAAACTAGCCTCGAGTTTGCTACTCTTTACACTGAATACACATAACGAAAAGCTGATTAATATTGCGCTCAGTTAGTTTACAGAAGATGCTTGAGTTTCAATCGAAATGAAGCTCTTGAAATAAAATAAAAAGCATGGATGAGGCCTTAATACTCATTAGGAGGCCACCTTTTTGAGGGATTGGCAGGAAAGGAAGAGCAATGTTATTGTATAGATGAAAATGACAAAGTTACTACTTTTTTCAAAGTGATAATTCGTGTTATCCAAACGACAAATTCAAAACGTTTAATTGCACATAACATTGTCAACAATATTAATAAAAAGTCAAACTATAATCAACAGTAAAAAATGTAACATACGTTTCAACAGCAAGGTAAAAGATAATTTATCATTAAACTTATGCACGTTAAGCTGCTTGTTTGTTCCCAGTTTTAACGATGAAATAATGGTCAAATCATTTTTTTGTAAGTAATAAAGTTATGGACAATGAGCAAGATTATCTTGTTAATCACACAGCTATTAATTTCACTTTTGCGTTGAAACTATTTAGGTTGAGAAAACATTTTGTTATTCAATTAAACGAAAAAAGTTCATTAAGATTTGAAGCCTATTTTCAGCTTAACAGAAATCAATTTTTCTGGTTGAGAGAAATTTTGATTTACCTAAAGTTTATTGAAATTGTTTTCTCAATTTTACCTTTCAAAGTGATTTTAAGAAGGGTTTAACTTGAGATCAATGGAGTTGCTTCAATAGGTTCAAACAATTTCCTACAATTTACAACATAATCCCGTGTGTTGTCCATTAAATTTCAGGTCAATAAATATGAGTTTAAAGTAAAAAAATGGACATTAACTTTTCAACCTGATATTACACGAAAACATGTAAACATTAAGTTGAAAAACTAATGAAATGATATGTTTCTAAAGAGGTTAAAGTTTACACTCCAGTGATGATCTGCAAGATTATTATTAACTTTAGGTTATTTGATATTTTTCATGGCAAACATTGGCTAAATAATAATATTTACAAGGAACATGAGAGGCAACGAGAATGATGATTATGATGGAGTCAATTTTAAACCTGAAAATACCAGCGAGTCCAAAAAGGAAAAGGAAGATTGAAAGAGAAGAAAAGGAGAAAAGAAAAGATAATGATGATAATAATGATCGGCTCCAAAATGACCCGAGTCGGAGGCCAAGGGAATATTACAGAAAATGAATGGAAAAGGACGTTTTTTTTGCTAATTTCATCTCAATTCCTGTGGCTGCAAAAAAATCATCCCACGCTCATGGAATCCATTGACTTAAATTAAAGGTTGATAATGTAGCAACACGACAAAAACATAATGTTGAAATGGTAACCCTCATTATTGGTCGAGACGCAGTTGCCGACAGATTTCAAGGTTCATAGTTTCATGATAATATCATTAATCTTTGTTGCTAAACAATGATTGGAATTAAATCGCATTTGTTCATTTCTGCAAATGAATTTGAAAAGAACCGTTGAGTGGTTACTCATCTTTCTTTCAGGTAAATTGACACGAAAAGGTGAGAAAAAGAAACAAGATTATCATCAATATTGGTAGGTCATTCGCGGTGGCCTTAAACTATTGGTATTGATAAGGATAGACGATGATAATGATGGTAATGATGAGCAACAAAAAAAAGGTAAACTCTGGTTAAGCCTCAAATTACAAGGAATCACAGGGATAAATCCCGCTAGGTCAGGGTAATGCTTTGACGAGAAGAAATGATGACGATGAGAAGATAAAAATGCAGAGGCTACAGGCTTACAGGGTGTTGGAAATGGTTTATATTTTTATTTTTATATCTTTTTTTGTTGTTCGGGGGTAAAATAGGAACCTTGCTGGGTTTGTGTGTAAAAATGGTTAAACCAGAGTGAATGATTGAGATACCAAAGAGTGGAGCATGAAAGAAATAATAATCATTTGGATTGATAAAAAATGAATGGGATGCATCATAAGGGGCAATTGGATGAGAGAAGGGAAAGAAAATTGCATTCTTTTTCTCATTCTTTGCTTGGCTTGTTTCATTACACACTTGATTGAAAAGGAGCAAAATGATTGAGAAGAAATGGGAAAAATATTCAAACTGATGGAAGGAATTATCTGTAATTTCAATAATATTTAACACCTTAGTTGCCATAGACGATAATCTTACCGTTCCTATTAGTAAGGCACAAAAACACACCTCGATATCAGGCCTCTTTTTTCATTCAAGCCCTTTCCTTCATCATCTGCTTCATCCTCTTATTTTTTTTTTGATTTTTTCAGCTGATCTTGGATTTTAACTAATCTATTAACTTCAACTTCTGAAGATGTTTACCCTGAAGAAACTGATTTCGTGTTTTAGGCAAGCTTGAAAGGTAAGAAACAAATTAAAACACAAAACAACTGCTAGAGATAGCAAAAAAAGAAGAAGCAACTTGATGATGAAAATAGCAAATTGGTACAAAAATTTCACCTGGATTAACTGACCAATGATCACGATTAATGGCCATTCCTTTAGGTCATAGATTGTGAAAGGTGACCAGCTAAAAGGTCATCTATGACATTGGCCAAGGGTCACTTGAATAACTGCCTTTTCTGTTCATCATTTAAATGGCAATTTTAGTTTTCTCTCTGTTGACCAAAATGTAATCAACATTGACTGATATAAAAATAAAGCAAACATGAGTTTAAAATTTACTAAAGGTAACTTTCTTTCGCCTACAGAGTGGACCAAGTAGGTAGAGTTTATCTCCTCTCTTTACTCTATCTTTCACCATCATCATCATAATCAACATCATCTTCTACTCAAACCCACATTTCTAGAAGACCTTTTCTCTCCTCTCTTCTGGTATAGTTTACAGTATTGAGGCAAGATGAGAAGGTAAGCTTGAAAGTCACCAAGAAAATTACGATTGCCAATGTTACCTGGAAAATGCGGTTTACCCTTAATAGCTTTTAACTGGGCCCTGTTTGGTTCTTTCCCATTTACTTTTCAAACAAAAAAATAAACATTAAAAGTTAAGAATTTTTTTTCAACAAAACTTCAAGATTATGGTTATTGGCAGTCGTTACAATTTATACATTTACGATTTATAATTAGCATGAAATTTTCCTTTAGTTTGTGTTCTAACCTAGAAGAATTTTAGAAGAAAATT